TTGTTTGTCTTGGTTGGTATGTATTCTTCCTCTGATTCGTATGTATATTTTCACTCGTATGTATGGTTTCTGTGGTGTACATGTATCCGCGACGATGAGACACCTGTATGTGTGTCCCCTCATACCGTATGGCCGCCAGGTCATCGGTAACTTTACTTTATTGAAGCGGTTTTAAAACTTGAAAAAGACAGCTGGAAGGAAGTAGTTCTTGAAGGCTTAAGTAATGTGTGTTTTACTCTCTCTCTCCTCTCTCTCTCTCTCTCTCTCTCTCTCTCTCTCTCTCTCTCTCTCTCTCTCTCTCTCTCTCTCTCTCTCTTTCTTCTCTTTCTCTCTCTTCTCTCTCTTCTCTCTTTCTCTCTTCTCTCTTTCTCTCTCTCTCTTTCTCTTTCTCTTTCTCTCTCTTTCTCTCTCTTTCTCTCTCTTTCTCTTTCTCTCTCTTCTCTCTCTTTCTCTCTCTTTCTCTCTCTTTCTCTCTCTTTCTCTCTCTTTCTCTCTCTCTCTCTCCTCTCTCTCTCTCTTCTCTCTCTCTCTCTCTCTCTCTCTTCTCTCTCTCTCTCTCTCTCTCTCTCTCTCTCTCTCTCTCTCTCTCACCCCCCCTCCCTCCTCCCACCCCCACCCAAACTACCCATCATTCAACCTTGGGGCTCCTACCACCCTTCATTCATCTTCACCACCCCACGGTTGACAAGCTGCTTGAAATTGGATTTAGAGATTTCCCGTAGTGGTTGGAGGAGGGGGGGGGGGAAGGGGGGATTGGGGGGGATAGTCTCGATAGTGTATACTTTATAGAAAACTAGGTTAGTTTACCCGTAGATTGTGGTAGTCGTGGAGGCTCACTAGGCTTGGGTTGCTTCCGGGGCTTAGCGTCCCCGCGGCCCGGTCGTCGACCAGGCCTCCTGACCAGAGGCCAGATTCACGAAAGCACTTACGCAAGTACGTACGAACGTGTCCATCTTTCCTCAATCTTTGACGGCTTTGGTTACATTTATTAGACAGTTTTCAAGCATGAAAACTTGCCAATCAACTGTTGTTATTGTTATAAACAGCCTCCTGGTGCTTCGGAGCTCATTAACTGTTTAATAATTGTAAACAAAGCCGCCGAAGATTGAGAAAAGATGGACAGGATCGTAGGTGTTTGCGTAAGTGCTTTCGTGAATCTGGCCCCAGGCCACTAGGCTTGGGTTGAGCAGCCGTTACACCGGCCTGTCTCTCCTCAACACGCCGACAGTTTCTGCTGGAATATTGTTGAATTGTGTTTGCAGAGTGTTCTTTATTCCCCCTCCCAGGCAAGAATATTGCATTGCCTGGGAGAATGCCAGGCCTGGTCCACCTGACAACTATGCCTGACCTCCTGCATAAGGGACAAGTCAGGTCGCGAAAAGCAAACTCTGCTGTTCTTCGCAAGACTCCAGGGGCCAGATTCACGAAAGCAGTTACGCAAGTACTTACGAACGTGTACATTTTTCCTTATTCTTTGACGGCTTTTGTTACATTTATTAAACAGTTTACAAGCATGAAAACTTCCCATTCAACTGTTGTTATTGTTATAAACAGCCTCCTGGTGTTTCGGAGCTCATTAACTGTTTAATAATTGGAAAGAAAGCCGCCAAAGATTGAGAAAAGAAGTACAGATTCGTAAGTGTTTGCGTAAGTGCTTTCGTGAATCTGGCCCCAGGTCTTCGGTGGGGGGAGAGATGGTGGCAGTAGACTGAGCTCTGTAGAAGGTCTTGGACGATATCACCCCGCCGAGAGGCGCGTTGTGATTAGTTGATTTTATCCTCATGAGGGGCAAGTTGCGCTCTGATTGGTTGATCTATTCCCCCCCCCCCCCACTTCCCGTCACTCGACCAATCACAGGACGATACGTGGTACTTGTCTAGCAGTGAGACGGGGAAGGAGAGGCTTGTGTGTGCAGCTAATGTGTTAACCAGAAATATTATATAAAGCAAAATTAAGTGTTACGCCGAACATAACCCATAACGCCAGGGGAGGGGGCCAGGGACCAGATAGACAGGGACAAAGATCCAAGGACACAGGTATAGGGACCAGGGAGACAGGTCCAGGGACCAAAAGAGGCCACAAATGGTTCTGTGAGTGTCAGTGCTCAAAAGTTTGAGCACTGGACAAAACCTTGTTAGTAGAGTGCACGCAGGGACATCACCGGGACATACTGTGACTTCAAGGTCTAACAAGCATAGGAACCTTTCTATAACAGTCGCCAGGGGACTCCCCCCCCCCCCCATTGTTTGTTGTCCTCGTAAACTGGGAGAGACAACACTGGAGGGGAGGGTTAACGAGGTAGGAAAAAGGAAGAGGGGAGATATATGGCATAGGGAGAAGAGAGAGAGAGGAAGGAAGGAAGGAAGGAAGGAAGGAAGGAAGGAAGGAAGGAAGGAAGGAAGGAAGGAAGGGGAAACAGAACAGTGGATAAACAAACTAACAGCGATTGAGCCAGTGAGAGCGAAAGGGAGATAGGGAGTGTGATAACAAGAAGAACGCAAGGGGAGAGGCTGACAGAGGCACAGACAGAGACAGAAAGGGACAGACAGACAGACAGGGGGGCCCTCGCTGATAGAGTAACCAGTCAAACCAACACAAAGAATATTCTCGACAGCGGTTAATACGACTAACAATCCCGCCTGATTATTCTCCTAAGAAAAACAGTTGAAGGTCAAACGAGGTCACGTGACTAGGGGAGGAGGTCGGAATTTGTTATCATTCGTCGTTGAACTTTGACCTTCAGGGGAATGACACACGTCAAGTCTCCCACGGGACATGTTGTAGACATGTTTTAGCACGGCTGTGCTCTGTGTACCGTGTCTGGTGGCTGTGTACCATGTGTTGTGGCTGTGTACCGTGTCTGGTGGCTGTGTACCGTGTCTGGTGGCTGTGTACCGTGTCTGGTGGCTGTGTACCGTGTCTGGTGGCTGTGTACCGTGTCTGGTGGCTGTGTACCGTGTCTGGTGGCTGTGTACCGTGTCTGGTGGCTGTGTACCGTGTCTGGTGGCTGTGTACCGTGTCTGGCGGCTGTGTACCGTGTCTGGCGGCTGTGTACCGTGTCTGGTGGCTGTGTACCGTGTCTGGTGGCTGTGTACCGTGTCTGGTGGCTGTGTACCGTGTCTGGTGGCTGTGTACCGTGTCTGGCGGCTGTGTACCGTGTCTGGCGGCTGTGTACCGTGTCTGGCAGCTGTGTACCGTGTCTGGTGGCTGTGTACCGTGTCTGGTGGCTGTGTACCGTGTCTGGCGGCTGTGTACCGTGTCTGGCGGCTGTGTACCGGGTCTGGGCGGCTGTGTACCGTGTCTGGCGGCTGTGTACCGTGTCTGGCGGCTGTGTACCGTGTCTGGCGGCTGTGTACCGTGTCTGGCGGCCGTGTACCGTGTCTGGCGGCCGTGTACCGTGTCTGGCGGCCGTGTACCGTGTCTGGTGGCTGTGTACCGTGTCTGGCTGGCTGTTGTACCGTGTCTGGTGGCTGTGTACCGTGTGTTGTGGCTGTGTACCGTGTGTTGTGGCTGTGTACCGTGTGTTGTGGCGTGCGTGTACGTGTGTTCTGGCCTGTGTACCGTGTCTGGCGGCTGTGTACCGTGTGGCTGTGGCTGGTACGTGTGTTGTGCTGTACCGTGTCTGGCGGCTGTGTACCGTGTATGGCGGCTGTGTACCGTGTCTGGCGGCTGTGTACCGTGTCTGGCGTGGCTGTGTATCGTGTCTGGCGGCTGTGTACCGTGTCTGGTGGCTGTGTACCGTGTCTGGCGGCTGTGTACCGTGTCTGGCGGCTGTGTACCGTGTCTGGCGGCTGTGTACCATGTGTGGCTGTGTACCGTGTCTGGCTGCTGTGTACCGTGTCTGGTGGCTGTGTGCCGTATTCTGGCGGTCTGTGTTGTACCGTGTCTGGCGGCTGTGTACCGTGTCTGGCGGCCGTGTACCGTGTCTGGTGGCTGTGTACCGTGTCTGGTGGCCGTGTACCGTGTCTGGCGGCTGTGTACCGTGTCTGGTGGATGACCGCATCACACTACGTCCAGATCTCTCCTTGTTTGTATTTACTGAAAGGGAAAGATATGAGCATCAGCAGGAGATGGCAGGGAAGGGTACGAGCATCAGCAGGAGATGGCAAGGGAAGGGTACGAGCATCAGCAGGAGATGGCAGGGAAGGGTACGAGCATCAGCAGGAGATGGCAAGGGAAGGGTACGAGCATCAGCAGGAGATGGCAGGGAAGGGTACGAGCATCAGCAGGAGATGGCAGGGGAAGGGTACGAGCATCAGCAGGAGATGGCAGGGGAAGGGTACGAGCATCAGCAGGAGATGGCAGGGAAGGTTACGAGCATCAGCAGGAGATGGCAGGGAAAGGTACGAGCATCAGCAGGAGATGGCAGGAAAGGGTACGAGCATCAGCACGAGATGGCAGGGAAGGGTACGAGCATCAGCACGAGATGGCAGGGGAAGGGTACGAGCATCAACAGGAGACGGCAGGGGAAGGGTACGAGCATCAGCACGAGATGGCAGGGAAGGGTACGAGCATCAGCAGGAGATGGCAGAGAAAGGTATGAGCAGCAGCAGGAGATATGCCCGTTTTCTATGCGAAGGTTGGTAAGGTTAGGTGGGTGGCTTAGGCTCGTGCGCCTTAGTACCACTTATTGTGTACGTTGGGGCAAATCGAGAGAACATGCTGGAGAGACGGACACAGTCGTGATCTGTCCGACCTGGCCTAATGTATTGATCTACAGTGGAGGTTTGTATTGATCTACAGTGTGGGGTTTGTATTAATCTACAGTGTGAGGTTTGTATTGATCTCCAGTGGAGGTTTGTATTGATCAACAGTGGAGGTTTGAACTGATCAACAGTGGAGGTTTGTACTGATCAACAGTGGGGGTTTGTACTGATCAACAGTGGAGGTTTGTACTGATCAACAGTAGGGGTTTGTACTGATCAACAGTGGAGGTTTGTGCTGACCAACAGTGGAGGTTTGTACTGATCAACAGTGGAGGTTTGTATTGATCAACAGTGGAGGTTTGTATTGATCAACAGTAGGGGTTTGTACTGATCAACAGTGGGGGTTTGTACTGACCAACAGTGGAGGTTTGTATTGATCAACAGTAGGGGTTTGTACTGATCAACAGTGGAGGTTTGTATTGATCAACAGTGGAGGTTTGTATTGACCCCCCAGTGTGCCTGTGTTTAGATAAGCGCTTCTTTTGAAGTTATCCCTTAAATGCGATCTCAACTTGGGTTATGTCTCCTCGCCAGTGGGGGATATAAACAGCTTTTTTGCAAATTCATCTTCATATCTCTCCCCTAAAACATTTGGTGCGTATAATGCTGTATGTGAGTGGCTTGTGAAGCCGAGTATTGACCATCAGCGTAGGTCGAGGTTGACTTCTTTCTAGAGGGAGGTTGTAGGTTGACTTCTTTCTAGGGGGAAGTTGCAGGTTGACTTCTTTCTAGGGGGAGGTTGCAGGTTGACCTCTTTCTAGGGGGATGTTGTGGGTTGACCTCTTTCTAGGGGGATGTTGTGGGTTGACCTCTTTCTAGGGGGGATGTTGTTGGTTGACCTCTTTCTAGGGGGAGGTTGCAGGTTGACCTCTTTCTAGGGGGGATGTTGTTGGTTGACCTCTTTCTAGGGGGGATGTTGTAGGTTGACCTCTTTCTAGGGGGAGGTTGTAGGTTGACCTCTTTCTAGGGGAAGGTTGCATAGCTTGCAAACAGGTGGTTTAGTGGGCGATTCTGTGCAATGATGGTTCTCACCTTTCCCCATTAGTTTTATGTTCCCGGGAAAGGGTCTCGGTAGTTCAGGTGGCTTCGTTCTCGACGCACAATCGAGAATTCCGGGTTGGTATTCCCGGGCGGGACAGAAATGATTGGGCACTATTTTCTCTCGCCTAGTGAAACTGTTCAGCTAGCAGTAGTGAACACAGATTCATTCCTCCACATTTTCTCTCACCTAGTGAAACTGTTCACCTAGCACTAAGTAGGTACTCAGGAGTTATAGTCAGCTTGTTGGGGGGGGGGGCGTCGCGTCCTAGGTGGGGGTAAGCAATTCGACCTTGGGGGTGACACCCCGTAAGTAGCACGGGCTAAGGAGAGCCCCGTATAGTAAGCTATGGGGGAAGGGAAATCTCTACGATTACTAAACAGGAGTTGGAACTCGTCTGTTCCTGTACCACACACCTGTGTACCGAAAATGTTCCTGTTTATCTGGCAGATGTGTTCTGCCAAACCCCCCCCCCCCTCCCCGCCATGCCATCTGAAGCATTGGCTGCCTTTATTGCTGGCGCCATCCGCTGTGTTGGCCTCCAGTGATCTTGGATAATTGTTTTATCATTCATATAAGGTTCTTTTATGGGCACAATCGCAAATGTTCGAATCAAGTTTTTTCCCCTCTATGTTTTTGCGTCAGTCGTTGTTTCGGCTGACGCAAAAAAAAATAGACACAATGATACAGACACGAATGATACAGACACGAATGATACAGACACGAATGATACAGACACGAATGATACAGACACGAATGATACAGACACGAATGATACAGACACGAATGATACAGACACGAATGATACAGACACGAATGATACAGACACGAATGATACAGACACGAATGATAGACACGAATGATAGACACGAATGATAGACACGAATGATAGACACGAATGATAGACACGAATGATACAGACACGAATGATACAGACACGAATATACAGACACGAATTCGTGTCTGATAACTGTTGGAATACTTCACTGTCTAGTGCTACCCACGGGAGGAAGGGAAGGAAACTATCAGGGGGGGGGGGGGGGGAAAGCGCTAAGCCATTACGACTATATAGAACTGGGAAGGGGGTCAGGATATAAGGATTTGGGATGGGACGTGGGAGGAAGGAATGGTGCCCCCAACCACTTGTGGACGGTCGGGGATTGAACGCCGACCTGCATGAGGCGAGACCGTCGCTCTACCGTCCAGCCCAAGTGTAGGAGTAGGGGCTCACGAGAGCCCTGGGGGGGGGGGGATGATGTCAGATATATCATCGTGTTAGCAGATAAATTTGAACTTTTGACCCCTTGAAAAAAAAAAAAAAAAACAAGATGTATGGTCCGGTACCTTCCCTTAACATCAGTTAAACCTCGTTAAGTTTAACCGGTGTTGACCAGACCACACACTGGAAATTGAAGGGACGACGACGTTTCGGTCCGTCTGGACCATTCTCAAGTCGATTTCTCACTTCAATTTCTAGTGTGTGGTCTGGTCAACATACTTCAGCCACGTTATTTTAACCGGTGATTCCTATAGACCTTAGTCCCAAATAAATTTAGTTTTAATTTAGTTTTATCTGAGAAAAGTTGTTTTTTTAAAGTCAAAAAGCCACAGATCATCTCGTGTTAAAATTGATTACACGTTAATTGGATCCTCTGTGTGCTTTACAACAAAAAACTTTCAAGACGAGAGAGAATTTTCCCCTTAAATGTTTCCCTTAATAGCTTTCCCATGTAAGGAATTTTCACATGGATGACCGCTTGGGAAACTAAATACCATCAAATGGTTTTTTTTTGGCCGGACATTCCGCTCAGTCTGGATGGCCTCTATTGTGTTGGTGAGGTGGACACTAGAGTGCTCTCTGTCGCTCGCTCTCTGTCGCTCGCTCTCTGTCGCTCGCTCTCTCTGTCGCTTGCTCTCTGTCGCTCGCTCTCTCTGTCGCTCGCTCTCTCTGTCGCTCGCTCTCTCTGTCTCTCGCTCTCTCTGTCTCTCGCTCTCTGTCTCTCGCTCTCTCTGTCTCTCGCTCTCTCTGTCTCTCGCTCTCTCTGTCTCTCGCTGTCTCTGTCTCTCGCTGTCTCTGTCTCTCGCTGTCTCTGTCTCTCGCTGTCTCTGTCTCTCGCTGTCTCTGTCTCTCGCTGTCTCTGTCTCTCGCTGTCTCTGTCTCTCGCTCTCTCGTCTCTCGCTCTCTCGTCTCTCGCTCTCTCTGTCTCTCGCTCTCTCTGTCTCTCGCTGTCTCTGTCTCTCGCTGTCTCTGTCTCTCGCTGTCTCTGTCTCTCGCTGTCTCTGTCTCTCGCTGTCTCTGTCTCTCGCTGTCTCTGTCTCTCGCTGTCTCTGTCTCTCGCTCTCTCTGTCTCTCGCTCTCTCTGTCTCTCGCTCTCTCTGTCTCTCGCTCTCTCTGTCTCTCGCTCTCTCTGTCTCTCGCTCTCTCTGTCTCTCGCTCTCTCTGTCTCTCGCTCTCTCTGTCTCTCGCTCTCTCTGTCTCTCGCTCTGTCTGTCGCTCTGTCGCTCTGTCGCTCTGTCTCTCTGTCGCTCTGTCTCTCTGTCTCTCGCGCTCTCTGTCTCTCGCGCTCTCTGTCTCTCGCGCTCTCTGTCTCTCGCGCTCTCTGTCTCTCGCGCTCTCTGTCTCTCGCGCTCTCTGTCTCTCGCGCTCTCTGTCTCTCGCGCTCTCTGTCTCTCGCGCTCTCTGTCTCTCGCGCTCTCTGTCTCTCGCGCTCTCTGTCTCTCGCGCTCTCTGTCGCTCGCGCTCTCTGTCTCTCGCGCTCTCTGTCGCTCGCGCGCTCTCTGTCGCTCGCGCTCTCTGTCGCTCGCGCTCTCTGTCGCTCGCGCTCTCTGTCGCTCGCGCTCTCTGTCGCTCGCGCTCTCTGTCTCTCTCTCTCTCTCTCTCTCTCTCTCTCTCTCTCTCTCTCTCTCTCTCTCTCTTTTTAACACCTATTTCTGTGTGTGTGTGTGTGTGTGTGTGTGTGTGTGTGTGTGTGTGTGTGTGTGTGTTGTGTGCGCGCGCACGCGCGCGCGTGCGAGTATGTGTGATTTTACGAATGCTGCCATTTTTTAATCCTCTCACGGCCTTTAAGTATATTCAAACAGCAAACTATTATGGCCTTTAAAATGTAGCTAGATATCTTTAGAAACCTAAATACGTGTAATTTGGCTCCGAACGTGGAGCTCAAAACTCAAATTAGTGCGAACTTTATCAGTACTGTGGAGCTCTCTTTTACACACACCCTCCCGTAAGAGTGTCCGGTCGGTGACTAAATATTCTTAGGCTAATATTTTCTGAGCGTTTAAATACATTTATGCCACGTTGATATCTTTCCCCAGTGTTGCCTGGTGTTCATGGTTGGGTCAAATTTATAGTCTCGGAGCGACAAATTAAATCATATAACCTGAGATAACCAAAATCTCTTAAATAAGTAAATTATACTGTTGTTTCCCGCGCGAACTACTTTCTATGGCGGAAGGATAAATGTGCCCCTCGACGGCACTATCTTTCTTCACTGCTTTTTAGAATACAAAGGAACGAATTAATGACTTAGCTTCCCTGGACGGACACACACACACACACACACACACACACACACACACACACACACACACACACACACACACACACACAACACACACACACACACACACACACACACACAGATCACCTTAACTAACAATAAAGTAAAAATATTAGATAATAGTTTAAGCTTGATGGGCACGCGCCTCCCTCAAACAAGTGTCTGGAGGCTCAAAAGTTAATGCTCATGTCCAGAAGTTATAGTTCAAATGCCATAGGGTTCCAGAAATTATCATTCCACTGGCGTTTCATAGGTTATCGTTCGCGCCTTTGCACTAACAAGCTGTTGTGCAATCGTTGTTATTTTTGTTTATTGAATAAAATATTGCTCAGAATTCCTATGAGTGCCGTGAGCAACCGATACATTAAAACATGCATCGTAAGACTATGGAAAATTATGCCAACTATGATTACCTGGTAATAGCACAAATAAGTAAAAATTGACCTTCTCGAAGATGCTACCCACAACAGTTGCCTTACTCCCGGGCACATATTTTACTGGCAGGTGAACAGAGGCATCGGGTGAAATTTAATATTAGTACATTAACGGAAATTATTATTTTTTCTCTGCAATGTTAGTTAACAGAGTTAGTTACTAATTTCTAGTGCTTAGTAACTATAACTTTACTTTTTTTAACAAATCCACAAGGGCCGTGACGAGGATTCGAACTTACGTCCGAGAGGATCCTAGACGCTGCCTTAATCGAATCGACCATGATTCAAGTCTCCTGGAGCCCAAATGAATGGCAACTTAGTAACTATGATTTTGTGTTAAAAACAATCAAGTATCCTAGAAACACAAGCCGTAACTTGTCTCTATTTTCCGCTTGTTACAACTTGTAATAAAGTTGTTACATCTTGGCTTAACGTGTTTATGACGTATTAGAACGTTGTTACAACTTGCTATATTGGTTGTTATAACGGTTAGGTGTTAAAAGTTATTCGAACGTTGTACCAACGTCGTAGTTTCGGTGTGTGTTTGGCGGGTAGAGATCAATTTTTTTTCGTACGTTAAGTTGACTGCAATTACGTTGGAAAATTTGTCTTCATATTTTCGTGAGGTGAAAACGGCTTCTTCTTCTTCTCTCTCCTCTGTGGTTTGGTCGGCAACTTTGAGGCAATGTTCAAGCAACATTCAGACATTTTTTTCTTTCTTTTGTTAATGTTTGGAAGATGTTTAGAAAATGTTAAGGCAATCTTTAGGTAATATATAGTCTAAAACATTGTCTAATGCTAAGGGTTTAAGCAAAGTTCATACTTTATGAAGCAATGTTTAGTCAACTTTCAGGCAACATTCAGACAATGTTAAGGTAACATTCAGACAATGTTAAGGCAACGTTTAGGCAATATTCACTCAGAGCTCAGGCAAGGTTAAGATAACGTTTAATGATGTTATAAGACATTCAAATCACAGAAGTCTCCTCATTATGCAAGTAAGTCTGTATCAAGACTTCCTTAAAACGTATTCAAACGTTGTAGCAACGTCGTAGTTTGGTCGTGAGTTTGGCGGGATAAGTATCTCAACCAGAAATCGTGCACTATAGCCTCCACACACTCCTGAACACAAGTTGACTGGCGAAATATAATGTTTGAGAACTTTCAAACTTTCATCTTCCGACCCCTTAAATCTCTTTCTAAAAATATCTTGGGAGCAACTTGACAGTCTTCTTCTCGTCCTTTGAGTCTTGAGACCAGCTGACTTCTCCCTAACAAAGCCAGCCTCTTTGTTAGTATTTTTTGTTTTATTTTGCAAAGTGCAGTATCAACGATTGAAATCTGTGTTTTTTCAGTATGCGGGGGGGAGGAGAAAATTTATATAGTGCACAAATAAATCAATAAAAATATATATATATATATAATTTCAACAATACTCTAATGATCAAATCCACAAGGGCCGTGACGAGGATTCGAACCTGCGTCTAGGAGCATCCCAGACACTGCCTTAATCGACTGTGCTATAAGTATGAGTGTCTGGGATGCTCCCGGACGCAGGTTCGAATCCTCGTCACGGCCCTTGTGGATTTGTTCATTGATGCATCACGTTATTTTGAGATGATTTCGGGGCTTTTTAGTGTCCCCGCGGCCCGGTCCTCGACCAGGCCTCCACATCCAGGAAGCAGCCCGTGACAGCTGACTAACACCCAGGTACCTATTTTACTGCTAGGTAACAGGGGCATAGGGTGAAAGAAACTCTGCCCATTGTTTCTCGCCGGCGCCTGGGATCGAACCTAGGACCACAGGATCACAAGTCCAGCGTGCTGTCCGCTCGGCCGACCGGCTCCTTTACCACACGACCGGATCACACGTTAGTGTGATCGCTGTGTGTAATATACTCTAATGATCCCCGAGGATTCGAACCTAGGCCACCAGGCATTAATCCATCTCGCAGCCCAGTACCATACCCCCACTCTGCAACCCGTTCTCGCAAATTTAATAAGTCAATATTGACTTATTAAATATGTGCATAGGTGACATACTTAACATAGTAGTTTCCCTTGAAAAGCTTCATAGAAAACAGAGACCTTACCTAACCTACTTAGTATGTTAAGGTAAGCATCTTATTGCTTCGTAATTACAATTATTACCTAACCTATACCTATAATAGGTTAAGTAACAATTGTAATTACGAAGCTATAAGATGCTTATTTAACATACTAAGTAGGTTAGGTAAGGTCGGTGTTTTCTATGAAGCTTTCAAGGGAAACTATTATGTTTAGTATGTCACCTATGCACGCAACTAATAAGTCAATATTGACTTATTAAATTTGCGAGAACGGGTTGCACTCTGACAGGAATTGTTACGAGTGCAGACACTAATGAACTGTATATATATATATAGTATATGTGTGTATTGAAACAAGATTGTAGTTGGGTGTAAAATGCATATGTGGGTCTCGGGGACCCTCCTACAATTGTAACTCACTGGTGGAGTTGGTATAGTTGTGGACTGCAAGATGGGTTGAGGCCCTGGTGGCCTAGTTTCGAATCCTTGAGGAATCATTATAGAATTGTTGAAAAACTGGTGATGTTTGGGGTTCCATTCAAGCTGTACATACAGGTGTTTAATTAATATTTAAATATTTTTTATATACTTCTATATAAGATTTCAAGATTTTTTAGAAAATATTTTTTTATAAGTATGAATGGACATGCAAACGTCCATTCATACCTGTATACATTCATTCACAAACGCCTCAAAATGTATTCATATGTGTATGCATATAGTGGAAATTTACACGTGAGACACGTAAACAAAGATAGATGCAGACATACACTCACAGCTTTATAAATTGAATATACAAACTAAAATTCCAATTTGAATGAAAAAAAAAAATCCAGGCCATGGGAATCTTTCAAACAACATTCCTCTTGTAATATACTGACAGCTCCAGGACCGGTATATATATGTTCAATTACACTCGTATTGTATTAATACAACTCCTCTTGTAATATACTGACAGCTCCAGGACCGGTATATATATGTTCAATTACACTCGTATTGTATTAATACAACTCCTCTTGTAATATACTGACAGCTATATATTGTTCAATTACACTCGTATTGTATTAATACAGCAGCAGTATTCAATAACTGATGTTCATTCACACTCGTATCAATCTTTGCGGATGACACTAGGATTTAATGAGAAAAATTATAGAGATTATAGAGGACACAGCGAACCTTTAGACTGATGTTAATCAGGTCTTTTAATTGGCAATACAGTAGTCGTCACAACTGCAAGATAAATGACACGTTAGATAACAAGAATCTTCCATTTAGATAACGTTAGATAACAAGAATCTTCCGTTTAGATAACGTTAGATAAGAATCTTCCGTTTAGATAACGTTAGATAACACAGAAATCTTCCGTTTAGATAACGTTAGATAAGAATCTTCCGTTTAGATAACGTTAGATAACAAGAATCTTCCGTTTAGATAACGTTAGATAACAAGAATCTTCCGTTTAGATAACGTTAGATAACAAGAATCTTCCGTTTAGATAACATTAGATAACAAGAATCTTCCGTTTAGATAACGTTAGATAACAAGAATCAGGTTAGATAACAAGAATGCAATAACAATGACATTCTCGTGACAATTCTCTCTCTAGGGTGGAATATTGTTACACAATTACAGCCCATTTCAAAGCTGGAGAAATCGCTGACCTGGAGAACGTCCAAACCTTCCCAGAATCCCCTCAATAAAATATCTAAAATTATTGGGATTGTTTAAAAATTTGTATCTCATGGCGTGCAGGCGGGAGAGATACAAAATAATTCACACGGAAAATATTAGAGAGACTGGTTCTAAATCTTCACAGGGAAATACGTCGAAATGGAGCGAGGAGATATGGTAGGATGTGCAGAATACTCCCATTAAATAGTAGAGGTGTAATAGTAATATCAAGAGAGATCTTTATCAACATCAATGGTTCGAGTCTTAGCAACACATTCCCTTCAAACTTAAGTGACATAACTGGCAGACCTCTCAAGGTGTTCAAGAGAAAACTTTATGAACACCTCCAAGATCAACTGAACTGTGATTCATTGCGTCAGGCTACGGGCAGCTGCATCTAACAGCCTGGTTGACCAGACCACTGGTCAATAGGCATGGGGAAACCGGGCCTCTGTGACGTTGATTCTCGGAAACAATGCAAGTTAAGACATGAGACAACCCTTTCCCCCCCCCCCCCCCCCCCGGCCTTAAGCCTACTAGAGGCTTTCCCCGCGCAAAGGATGATGCTTCTGGAAACTTTCCCTATTAAGACCCCTCAATAGCTCGATCGATAGAGCTTCGGGCTCACATGCGTGGGGGGCCGCGGTTCGAGTCTCCTAGAGCTCAGGTGAATGGAGTGAACATTAAGGACCGTAATTAGGCTCCTTGAGCCTAATTACTATCGGCCTCAACAGGTTAGGAATGCTTAGGCTTGAACACTTCAGGTTAGGCAAAAACAACTTAATAATTGGCGTTGCGAGGGTTGATCTGTAGCTCTTGGACCCCAGCTACCCTTTGCTGTTAGTCACCCGATTCTACAATTTCCTCTTACTTTTTGTGGTAACAGTTTATGTAACTTATTTCAATTGGTCACTGCTTCTTCACTGAAAATCTCCTTCATGTCCTCATCTGTATTTTTAAATGTCATGAATGTTTTCTCATTCTTATAGTAGCTGAGAATGACTAATACTCGCTATAAAATCTCGTATGTCGCAATTATGTCTCCTGTATGTGTCTCCTCTCTCCGGCACGGTGAGGTCCAGTTCTGCGACGTATCCTCGTATTCCATCACTCATAATTCGACCCATCACAGAGATGTATTGATCTATTTTCACATACTGCGTATCCAGAAACTAATTTTTTATTATTATTTATATTAATGCATATTGCAGTTATGTGTACAGTTAGACATAGCAAAATAAATAGGTCAGATTTTTCAGTTTTGTTGCAATCATTTGCATTTAGAATTGCATGAACTACTTAAGTGTGATTGACGCGGCAGATGCAGACGAATATTGTTGACATGGTCTATCTTCTCTCTTGAGGTGATTTCGGGGCTTAGCGTCCCCGCGGCCGGTCCTCGACCAGGCCTCCTTTTTGTTACACACCCCCAGGAAGCAGCCCGTAGCAGTTGTCTAACTCCCAGGTACCTATTTACTGCTAGGTAACAGGGGCATCAGGGTGAAAGAAACTTTTTGCCCATTTGTCTCCGCCTCCTCGGGGATCGAACCCGGAACCTCAGGACTACGAATCCGAAGCACTGTCCACTCAGCTATCAGGCGCCTGCACTGTGGAAAATTAGGCGGTTGGCACTGAGACGACAAAGTCAATGACATCATTAAGAGGAGCTTTGCCTCCGCCTAGTGTCCAGCAGAGAGAGAGCCTCACAATTTATTGAACCATAACTCTGTTAGCTTTGCTGGCCAACCAGATGGAATCACACTTGGAAAAGTGGCAGACAATTGAAACAGAGAAAAAGAGTGACAATATATTCCAGAAATGTTCGAACATCGTATAATGTGTTTAGCTTTTAAACTGGGTTTAGCGGCCGGATAATCGAGCATTTGTCAGTCTATGAGGACCAGTCCGTCCTCCTAAAGTTTCCCAACGTCAAGAAACTGTCGTACTAAAGTTCCCTTATCCTAACCTACCAGAGGACCCATAACAGAAAACGGGACAGTATGTTGATTTCGCGAGCCGCTAACATTTTCTAGTACGACGATTTTTTGGCCTTAGGTGGAGTATACGTCAAATTGCGACGTGCTATTAGGAGGCCGGGTTTGAGGGGTCAGGCAGGTCATTTGGTCGTTTAAGCGTGTGTTGAAATTGAAATAAGTTTATTGAGGTAAAATACACACAAAGGGATGAGGTTGCTCAAGCTATTCTCACCCCGTTCGGTACATCGTGTTAATACATACATAGACACATAGGCGTGTGTATTTTGTGAATCTGGTTGAAAACACATACAAACTACCCCACATGTGTTGTGTATCCGAGTATCCGGATACATGGCATAGAGTATACTTCTCAATAGATGTAAACGCCTTATACAAGAATATACAAGAATAATACAAGAATATATACATATTACAAGAATACCAATCCAGAGACGAGTATATTCCACGATCGGTCCAATACAGTGGTACCCACCCAATTACTGTAATACCGACATGCAAATTTGACAATTACCAGTAAACCACCAATTTTAACATCCCTACGGTTTTAGCGATATTATTATGGCATTATTATTTGATTACAACTTTTAATGATTATTTTTATTCATATTTTATTGGTAGTGGAAAGAGTACCGAGGCGACTGGAATGACCATGAATGGTTCTCGCTACGGTTGACAGGGAAAGAACTTGATTACAATCAAATGCCGCATGAAATCAACAATTAAATCAGATTACATTCTCTGACCACCGAGCGATTACCACTATTGTGGTGATGTCAGGCTGGAACTGTGCTGAAAATTCATATATATATATATAATATATATATATATATATATATATATATATATATATATATATATATATATATATATTAATCTATATATATATATATGGTATATATATTTAGGGGCAGTTATTCAGGTCAGTAAAAAAAAAAAAAGGCATATATAGCGAGGCATATATATATATAGATTATATATATATATTATATATATATATATATATATATATATATATATTATATATTGTGTATGTATGTAACCAATGTTATAACCCATTTTGTCTAATGAAGTTTTAAATCAAATATAATGACAAAATACACTATATTTTTTCTAGGGCCGAGGGTCCCTGCAAACTCATATACATCGGTGTATATATAACATTAGTTATATATATATATACATCCGCCGATATCCATTTATCCTTGCCAAGGCTACACATGGGGTCAGTATCAAAGTGTGTATACTTGTTACAGCGAAATGAAAGTGAATTGAAGGGGGGAAAGGGTGGAGATAGTGACGGTATGAGTAGCTGTGTGACTAACAGATTTAGTGCATCGTGCAGAAGGTGTAGTGGAGTTTGTTGAATTAGATTTTTGCTGTGGTTGTGTACTTGATACAGTTGTATAGCTGTTGTATGGGATGTGTTCGCGGGTGCGGTATTGGTTGTATGATGGTGTTGATGGTATGAATAGTTAATATACTACTACTACTACTACTACCAACCACTGGCAACGGGTGTGGTTGCAATAGCCAATGACTGGTAACGTTGGCTGTTTGTGTAGATGGTAACAGCGAGGCCGGGGGCGGCGAGGCCGGGGGCGGCGAGGCCGGGGGCGGCGAGGGCCGGGGGCAGCGAGGCCGGGGGCGGCGAGGCCGGGGGCAGCGAGGCCGGGGGCGGCGAGGCGGGGGGCAGCGAGGCGGGGGCGGCGGCGAGGCCGGGGGCGGCGAGGCCGGGGGCAGCGAGGCCAGGGGCGGCGAGGCCAGGGCGGCGAGGCCGGGGGCGGCGAGGCCGGGGGCGGCGAGGCCGGGGCAGTAATTATCCAAAAAGCAGAATCAATAAGATGAAAACAGATACAAATTGTAAGATAAAAAAAAAACATTTTTAAGTAAAGCTGTAAGTCCTTTATTCTCCCCCCCCCCCCCCCCCACCCCCCCCTCACTTTCCTCACTTTCTCCCTCCATTCTTCTCTCACTTTCTCCCTCCATTCTTTCCTCACTTTCTCCCTCCATTCTTCCTCACTTTCCCTCCATTCTTCCTCATTTCTCCCTCCATTCTTCCTCACCTTACTCCTCCCATGCTAGGGTGTTAGGAGACTGTTCTTGACAGAATTTCTCTTGTGCCTGTAACTGTTCTTGACTACAAATTTTCCCGCGACGGAAAACATTTCCCTATGTTGGAAATGACTTGACAAGCACACAGGGGGCCAGGACATGACTTGACAAGCACACAGGGGGGCCATGACTTGACAAGCACACAGGGGGCCATGACATGACTTAACAAGCACACAGAGGGCCAGGACATGACTTGACAAGCACACAGGGGCCAGGACATGACTTGACAGGCACACAGGGGGGGCAGGACATGACTTGACAGGCACATAGGGGGGGCAGGACATGACTTGACAAGCACACAGGGGGCCAGGACATGACTTGACAAGGACACAGAGGGCCAGGACATGACTTGACAAGCACACAGGGGCCAGGACATGACTTGACAAGCACACAGGGGGGGGCAGGACATGACTTGACAGGCACACAGGGGGGGGGGCAGGACATGACTTGACAAGCACACAGGGGGGGGCAGGACATGACTTGACAAGCACACAGGGGGGGGGCAGGACATGACTTGACAGGCACATAGGGGGGGCAGGACATGACTTGACACAGCACACAGGGGGCCAGGACATGACTTGACAAGACACAGGGGGGCAGGACATGACTTGACAAGCACACAGGGGGGGCCAGGACATGACTTGACAAGCACACAGGGGGCCAGGACATGACTTGACAAGCACACAGGGGGCCAGGACATGACTTGACAAGCACACAGGGGGGCAGGACATGACTTGACAGGCACACAGGGGGGGGGGCAGGACATGACTTGACAGGCACATAGGGGGGGCAGGACATGACTTGACAAGCACACAGGGGGCCAGGACGTGACTTGACAAGGACACAGGGGGGCAGGACATGACTTGACAAGGACACAGGGGGGGGCAGGACATGACTTGACAAGCACATAGGGGGGCCAGGACATGACTTGACAAGCACACAGGGGGCCAGGACATGACTTGACAAGTATACAGGGGGCCAGGACATGACTTGACAAGCACACAGGGGGCAGGACATGACTTGACAAGAACACAGGGGACCAGGACATGACTTGACAGCACACAGGGGGCCAGGACATGACTTGACAAGCACACAGGGGGCCAGGACATGACTTGACAAGCACACAGGGGGCTAGGACATGACTTGACAAGCACACAGGGGGCCAGGACATGACAAGCACACAGGGAGCCAGGACATGACTTGACAAGCACACAGGGGCCAGGACATGACTTGACAAGCACACAAGGGGCCAGGACATGACTTGAGAAGCACACAGGGCCATGACATGACTTGACAAGCACACAGGGGGCCATGACATGACTTGACAAGCACACAGGGGGCCAGGACATGACTTGACAAGCACACAGGGGGCCAGGACATGACTTGACAAGCACACAGGGGGCCAGGACATGACTTGACAAGCACACAGGGGGGCATGACATGACTTGACAAGCACACAGAGGGCCAGGACATGACTTGACAAGCACACAGAGGGCCAGGACATGACTTGACAAGCACACAGGGGGCCAGGACATGACTTGACAAGCACACAGAGGGCATGACATGACTTGACAAGCACACAGAGGGCCAGGACATGACTTGACAAGCACACACTTGACAAGCACACAGGGGGCCAGGGGGCCAGGACATGACTTGACAGAGGGCCAGGACATGACTTGATAAGCACACAGAGGACCAGGACATGACTTGACAAGCACACAGAGGGCCAGGACATGACTTGACAAGCACACAGAGGGCTATGACATGACTTGACAGGCACCACAGGGGGGGGCATGACATGACTTGACAGGCACACGGGGGGGGCCAGGGACATGACTTGACAAGCACATAGGGGGCCAGGACATGACTTGACAAGGACACAGGGGGCCAGGACATGACTTGACAAGCACACAGGGGGCCAGGACATGACTTGACAAGGACACAGGGGGGCCAGGACATGACTAGACAAGCACATAGGGGAGCCAGGACATGACTTGACAAGCAACAAACAGGGGGGCAGGACATGACTTGACAAGCACACAGGGGGCTAGGACATGACAAGCACACAGGGAGCCAGGACATGACTTGACAAGCACACAGGGGGCCAGGCCATGACTTGACAAGTATACAGGGGGCCAGGACATGACTTGACAAGCACACAGGGGGCCAGGACATGACTTGACAAGCACACAGAGGGCCAGGACATGACTTGACAAGCACACAGGGGGGCCAGGACATGACTTGACAAGCACACAGAGGGCCAGGACATGACTTGACAAGCACACAGGGGCCAGGACATGACTTGACAAGCACACAGGGGGGGGGCAGGACATGACTTGACAGGCACACAGGGGGGGGGGGCAGGACATGACTTGACAAGCACACAGGGGGGGGGGGCAGGACATGACTTGACAAGCACACAGGGGGGGGGCAGGACATGACTTGACAGGCACATAGGGGGGGCAGGACATGACTTGACAAGCACACAGGGGGCCAGGACATGACTTGACAAGGACACAGGGGGGGCAGGACATGACTTGACAAGCACACAGGGGGGGCCAGGACATGACTTGACAAGCACACAGGGGGCCAGGACATGACTTGACAAGCACACAGGGGGCCAGGACATGACTTGACAAGCACACAGGGGGGCAGGACATGACTTGACAAGCACACAGGGGGGGGGGGCCAGGCAGACATGACTTGACAGGCACATAGGGGGGGCAGGACATGACTTGACAAGCACCACAGGGGGCCAGGACGTGACTTGACAAGGACAGGGGGGGGCAGGACATGACATGACAAGCACATAGGGGGGGCAGGACATGACTTGACAAGCACACAGGGGGCCAGGACAGGACTTGACAAGTAGTATATAGGGGGCCAGGACATGACTTGACAAGCACACAGGGGGCAGGACATGACTTGACAAGCACACAGGGGACCAGGACTGACAAGCACACAGGGGGCCAGGACATGACTTGACAAGCACACAGGGGGCCAGGACATGACTTGACAAGCACACAGGGGGCTAGGACATGACTTGACAAGCACACACGGGGCCAGGACATGACAAGCACACCGGGAGCCAGGACATGACTTGACAAGCACACAGGGGGCCAGGACATGACTTGACAAGCACACAAGGGGCAGGACATGACTTGAGAAGCACACAGGGCCATGACATGACTTGACAAGCACACAGGGGGCATGACATGACTTGACAAGCAAACACAGGGGGCCAGGACATGACTTGACAAGCACACAGGGGGCCAGGACATGACTTGAGAAGCACACAGGGGGCCATGACATGACTTGACAAGCACACATGGGGCCAGGACATGACTTGACAAGCACACAGGGGGCCAGGACATGACTTGACAAGCCACAGGGGGCCAGGAATGACTTGACAAGCACACAGGGGGCCAGGACATGACTTGACAAGCACACAGAGGGCATCATGACATGACTTGACAAGCACACAGAGGGCCAGGACATGACTTGACAAGCACACAGGGGCCAGGACATGACTTGATAAGCACACAGGGGGCCAGGACATGACTTGACAAGCACACAGGGGGCCAGGACATGACTTGACAAGCACACAGGGGGCCAGGACATGACTTGACGGCACACAGGGGGGGGGGCCAGGACATGACTTGACAGGCACACGGGGGGGGGGCAGGACATGACTTGACAAGCACACAGGGGGCCAGGACATGATGACAAGCACACAGGGGGCCAGGACATGACTTGACAAGCACACAGGGGGCCAGGACATGACTTGACAAGCACACAGGGGGCCAGGACATGACTTGACAAGCACACAGGGAGCCAGGACATGACTTGACAAGCACACAGAGGGCCAGGGACATGACTTGACAAGCACACGGGGCTAGGACATGACAAGCACACAGGGAGCCAGGACATGACTTGACAAGCACACAGGGGGCAGGCCATGACTTGACAAGCACACAGGGGGCCAGGACATGACTTGACAAGCACACAGGGGGCCAGGACATGACTTGACAAGCACACAGAGGGCCATGACATGAATTGACAAGCACACAGGGGGGCCAGGACATGACTTGACAAGCAACAGGAGCCAGGACATGACTTGACAAGCACACAGAGGGCATGACATGACTTGACAAGCACACAGGAGGGCCATGACATGACTTGACAAGCACACAGAGGGCCAGGACATGACTTGACAAGCACACAGAGGGCCAGGACATGACTTGACAAGCACACAGGGGGCCCGCAGGACGTGACTTGACAAGCACACAGGAGGGCCAGGACATGACTTGACAAGCACACAGAGGGCCAGGACATGACTTGACAGGCACACAGGGGGCAGGACCCCTCGTTCCAGGAACTCACGGTCAACCAGGAAGGAATTGATTGATATCTTTTAGTCATCTCACGATCAGAAGTGAGACACACTATAGCGATTGCATTTTTAGTCCCGTGCGACATTCATCATCATATGATATCGTGATATCATATGATTCGTGATATCATCTGTTGATGATTTGCGGGCAGATAATCCAACAGCCTCGTGTGTGTGTGTGGGGTGTGTGTGTGGTGTGTGTGTGTGTGTGTGTGTGTGTGTGTGGTGTGTGTGTGTGTGTTGGGTGTGTGTGTGTGTTGTGTGTGTGTGTGTTTGTGGTGTGTGTGTCTTGACGGGGAAGGCTCTTGGGG